AAGGGAAGATAGAAAGATGGAAGGGAAGGAAAGGGAAAGGAAGATAGAAGAAGGGAAGGAAGGAAGATGGAAGGAAAGAAAAGAGAAGGGAAAGGAAGATAGAAGGGAAGGGAAGATAGAAAGATGGAAGGGAAGGGAAGGGAAAGGAAGATAGAAGAACAAGAGGAAATGATGAAGAGAGAAGGGAAGGGAAGGCAGATAGAAGAAGGGAAGGAAGAAAGATGGAAGGAAAGAAAAGAGAAGGGAAAGGAAGATAGAAGAAGGGAAGGGAAGGAATATAGAAGAACGAAAGGAAAAGAAGATAGAAGAACAAAAGGAAATGATGAAGGGAAGGGAAGGAAGAAAGATAGAAGGGAAGGGAAGGAAAGGAAAGGGAGATAGAAGGGAAGAGAATAGGAAATGAAGGGGAAGGAAGAGGGAAGGAGAGGAAGACAGAAGAAGGGGAGGAAGGAGAGAGAAAAGGGAAAGAGAAAGAGAAAGAAAGAGGGTGAGGAGGGAGGGAGGCAAGGAAGGAAGTAAAAAAGAAAGAGAGGAAAGAGAAAGAAGAAGGGAAGGAAACAAGGGCCATCAAACAATACATTAATTTCAAGTCAAACTAGTGGGCAGTGGGAGGCAGAGAGAGGCGGCGGCCCTTTTAGACAACAACACAATCACACACTTTTCCAGGCACTCCTTCCTCGCCCTTTGCCCCCCCCCCCCGCTTTCCCGTGGAAGAGAAGGAATGCCGTCATACTTGCCTATCACACCCAGATCAAAAGATTCGGCGCTTATAAAAACCCGGCCGCTGTGCCAAGATTTTGCCGGCTGAAAGTTATTTTCCCATCGTTGCTTCCTTGGGAAACGACAGAAAAGAAAGAAAGAAAAAGATTAAAAACCTTTGCAACTCTATGATAAGAGCACAAGATGGGCTTTGTAGTACCAGCAACATGGGACTTCTGGGTTACTGCTGTGCTTGTTAAATACCAGATTTTGATTGGGTGGAGAAGGCAAATTTACCGTCTACATTATTGGGAAAAAAAGGAACAGCAGAAAACACAAGCGGTCCTCGACTTACGACCACAAAGATCGCGTTGCTAAGCGAGACATTGGTTCAGTAAGATTGGCCCCCCTTTTTCCGAACTTTCTTGTTGCGGTTGTTAAGTGAATCCCTGAAGTTGTTCAGTCAGCCACCCGGTTGTTAAGTGAATCTGGCTTTTGCAACAAACGGGGACTGCGGATGTTGCGACCGTCATAATGACGAGTCGGTTGCCAAGCGTCTGAATTTTGATCACCCCGGGAATGCTTTTATTGGTGGCGGTGTAATCCCAACGGTCACTAAATGAATGGTTGCAACTCAAGGATGACCTGTAGTGACAATGAAACCATGACTAGATCCTGAAACAGATGAACCAAGTGGGAAGGGACCCTATGGGTCATCTAGTCCAACCCCAAACAGGAAGAAGCCTGAGGAAGAAAGGTGATGCTCCCGGCCTACCTTGCAGGGTTGTTGAAAGAAGCCAAGAATTAGAAATAATAAATTTTATTATTATATAAGTAATTTTATTATTATATAAGTAATTTTATTATTAGTTCTTTATTCTTCTCCCAATCTCCCCCTGCCGACGACTTTATTCCTACAGGCAGCCCTCGACTTACAACAATTTCATTTAGTGGCCGTTCGAAGTCGCGATGGCACTGGGAAAAAAGCGACTTAGGACCGTTTCCCACACTTACGACCGTGGCAGTAGGCATCACCTGTTTTCCATTCAGAGGCTTGGCAACTGACTCGTATTTAGGACGGCGTCCCAGGTGGGTCACCTCATCCACTTCTGCGACTTTCTGACCAGCCAAGTCCATGGGGAGGGCAGGATTCACTTAACGACCGTGCAACTCACTTAACATTTGCAGCGATTCACTTAACAACCAGGCCAAGCACGTGATCCAAACTGACAGGACTCGTATTTAGGACCATTTCGGCGTGTTTCCCTCCTGCCCCCGCCGTGATCCAACTGCTTGGAGGCCGACTCACATTTACGACGGCAACGGACTCGTGTTTATGTCAGTTGCAGCCATCCTGCATGTGTGCCATCCCACGGCGGTGTGTGTGTGGCAATTCCCCCTTTTGCGACCTCCTGGCCAGCAAAGTCTGGGGGGGGGGAGCCAGCTTTGCTTAACGACCGTGTTGCTCAATGAACAAGGGAAGCGATTCACTTAACAACCAATGCGACCCGCTTAACAACCACAGAGAGCGAGGCTGTCCAACTGGGCAGCCCTGGCCACTGAAGGTAGGAGTGGGCTCAGCTTTGGTCATAAGTCGAGGACTTTCCTCAGGGGAAGGGAATATACCAGAAAAAGGAGGAGACAAAGCTTTTGAGGGGAGGGGGCGCCAGCAGAAACTCTTATTTTAACTTATTTTATTTCGTTTTAGTCAAAACAACCTATTTAAAATAATTGGTCCTGTCCCACCTCGCAGGGGTGGCGTTGAGGTGGGGGGCGAGGGGCGGGGCCGCCCCTCCGCGCTCCCCCCTCCCCTTCCTTTCCCGGCATGCTTTGCGCCGGCTGAGGTAAAAGTCACCTCCGCCTTTTTCGGGCGGGGGGGGCCGCTCAGCGCTCCCCCCCAGGACCCCCGCCCCTCCTGAGGANTCCTGGCTGCCTTATAGGAAGACCTAAAGCAGCAAAGACTTTTGTGGAGCCCTTCCCAATCTTCAACTGGCTGTCCCAATGTGGATTCATCTTCACTGCATCAGCCTTACCATTCATCAGCTTTCCAGCTCTTAAATCTCAATCCCTTCACATATTGATTGTGAAATACCTGCATTTGCCTCGGCTGATGGATGGGTGTTTGTGTGTGTCGTGATTGTTTATATGGATGTTTTTGCTCTCCCCCCACATTTATCAACTTATCCACTTGCACATCTCTTATTTATCTGCCTAATAAAAAATCTACCTATTTCCTACCCACCTATGATCTATTTGTTTTTTTAAAAAAATAAAACATTTATTTAAATATTTTTCCTGCAGCACCTGAAGCAAAAGGTTACACCATAAAACAGCCCCTACAGGGAGTCAAACAAGCAGTTAAAGGTTTGGAAACTGTTTTGGAAAGCTGTTCGCTGTTTGACTGACTCCCTTTAGGACCCAGCTTCCTCTGCAGCCATTTGTTCCAGGTGTTGAACCCCCAGGGGCTTTGCAGATGTTCTTCCCCTGTAACAAACAAGCAGCCTCTGGAAGGATGATTCCTTTCCCTTTCCCTTTTTCCTTTCCCTTTCCTTCTTACCTTCCTTTCTTTCCCTCTTTCCCTTCCTTTTCCCCCTTTTCCTTTCCTTTCCCTTTTCCTTTCCTTTTTCCTTTCCTTTCCTTTTCCCTTTCCTTTCGCCTTTCCTTCCCCCTTTCCTTTCCATTTTCCTTTCTTTTCCATTCCTTTCTTTTTTCCGTTCCTTTCCCCTTTCCTTTCCCCTTCCCTTCACTTCTTGTGTTCCTTTCTTTTTTCTTTTCCTTTCCCCATTCCTTTCTTTTTTCCTTTCCTTTCCCCTTTCCTTTTCATTTCCCTTTCTTTTCCATTCCTTTTCTTTTCCCTTTCCTTCTCCCTTTCCTTTTCCCTTTCCCATTCACTTTTTCGTTTCCTTTCTTTTTCCCTTTCCTTTCCCCTTTCCTTTCCATTTTCCTTTCTTTTCCATTCCTTTCTTTTTTCCGTTCCTTTCCCCTTTCCTTTCCCCTTCCCTTCACTTCTTGTGTTCCTTTCTTTTTTCTTTTCCTTTCCCCATTCCTTTCTTTTTTCCTTTCCTTTCCCCTTTCCTTTTCATTTCCCTTTCTTTTCCATTCCTTTTCTTTTCCCTTTCCTTCTCCCTTTCCTTTTCCCTTTCCTTTTCCCTTTCCCATTCACTTTTTCATTTCCTTTCTTTTTCCCTTTCCTTTCCCCTTTCCTTTCCATTTCCCTTTCTTTTCCATTCCTTTCTTTTTTCTTTTCCTTTTTCCTTTCCTTTTCATTTCCCTTTCTTTTCCATTCCTTTCCTTTTTCCTTTCCTTTTTCCTTTCCCCTTTCCTTTCCTTTTTCCTTTCCCTTTTCCTTTCCTTTTTCCTTTCCTTTTTCCTTTCCCTTCCCCTTCCCTTTCCTTTCCTTTCTTTTTTCCTTTCCTTTTCCTTTCCCTTTCTTTTCCATTCCTTTCCTTTTTCCTTTCCTTTTTCCTTTCCTTTTTCCTTTCCTTTTTCCTTTCCTTTTTCCTTTCCTTTTTCCTTTCCTTTTT